GTATCATGACTCTATGTACTGTTATAACATCTTCTAACCTCTTTTTCCCTTAATTGTACAGTTTAATAGCATCATTTTGTTTTATAGCTACACCATAAAGTTATTCTTCATTGTGAGACATTTGGATGGTTCTCAAATTTTCATTCTTAAAAAAACATACTGTGATGAGTCTTTATATAGATATGTGTGTGTTGTATATCCTATAGAAAACAAATATACAATATACGTCACCCACATGCATTTATTTTTGTTATTTTCTTAGGATTTGTTAAATATTTCTAGAAAGGACTCTTTAATAAGGAACTGCTGGGACAAAGAATATAGACAAGTGAAGATTTATTACTAAATAATTGTTCACCCAAAGAATTCCAATTAACTGTATATTCCTACTAGTTTGTTTACCTTCAGTTCCAGCAACACTCCCTTTGACACTGATATTTACTGAACTATAATGTATACATGGAAATGTGTACAAATTATAAGCTCAATGAATTTTCAAAAACTGATACTATCAATGTAATCGACTCAGTTCAAGAAATTTATTACCAGCACCCTGGAAGCTCTCCTTGTGTCCATTTTTATTCACACTTCAAAGGATAATTATTAACTTCTCACTGATTTGATTAGTGTGGCCTATTTTAGGAATTTAAATGAAATCATACTGTATGTCTTCTTTTGAGCCTGACTTTTTTCAAGTAACCTTGTGTTTGTGAAATTAGTCCATGTTTTTGAAGTTGTAGAGTGTTCTATATATTTGAGCTCTATGCTATATTGTTTCAAAGCCAGCATTCTTTAATTGTTGTCAGTCTGGAAGTGTAAAATACGGTGTTACAGTTTTCACTCACAATCTTTGATTTAATGTGAGGTTGAACTTTTTTTTTTTTGGCTTCACTGGTTATTTATATTTGCTCTAGTGTGACATTGGTCATTTATTGTTCCTCTGTGGTAATACTGGTTTCTCTATTGTAAATAAATCTTTCACTTTTGCCCAAGCAATAGGTTACATTGGCCTTTAGTTACAAAATAGAAGAATGACTGTTGTTTCCTCACTCTTTCCCAAAAGGCCAATTAAGACTAAAAACTGTTCTTTTGACAAGGTAACAAGTTTCCCTTCTGGGACTCCTGTAGTTGCGGGGTCTTGATCCTCAGTAGTGAGAAAAGGAACATGATATGTGGATTCCAGATCCCAAAAGTGAATTATCCACATTTCGGGCTGAAGCCGTTTCTCACCTATCATGCTGATTCCTCTGACTTTTGCTACTTTATACTTTTTTGGGTATTTTTTCAAAACCTGCTTTTCTTGAAATGCTGACCAGTCCTGGTTAACTGTTTGCTGCCCCAGGGTACAAAGCTTCTCTAAAGTTAAAGCAGACCCATACCCCGGACTGATAAAGGGTGAGATAGATAAGAAACTCTAGGGGTTTGAAAATCACTGGCTAAGAGGAGATTCTAGGACAGAGATTCTGATTTAATTAATTTATGGAGAAGTTTGGACATTAGTCGTTTGAAAAGGGCTCCAGGTGATTCCAGTGGGTTGACAGGATTGAGAATAATGGAAAATTCTGGCTCCTAAGCTGATACATTCAGGTGCACTGAATAGATCAGTTTTAACCTATAAGTAAAGAAATGCCCCTGCCTGTTTCTATCATGGCAGACTCCCAGAGATGGGACAACATCTTAATATTTGCCTTTTCCAAGCAAATATTATTTGTGGACAATGCCACAAATTTCACTTCTAAAGTATAATTCCCCATTCTTACTGCTTTGATTCATAGTAAATGAAAATTGTCCTAAAGGTACGAGTATTTTACTGCTGAATATGACAGCTTGTCAGATCATTATGTGAGAAACGTCGTGGTAATGGAAAGAAAGCAATGGAGAACTTCCCATGTTGGAGAGTGTAAGAAGAAGAAATGGAGGTAGAGAAAACAGTCTATCCTTTGTAAACTTTCCTTAGGTCCCAAAGAATTCTAGGACTTTTTAAGGACTGTAGTTCTTCCTTTGTGAGGCTTTGTAAGTATCCTTTTCAGTCTTGCAAAGGAAACTCTAGGAAAGTGGTTGAAAACCCACAGTCCCTTTGGCATGCTTAAAGAACACAGGAGCCAACAGAGAGCTCCCAATGGCCAAATGTTGAACAGTTTGAGCAACAAAAGACATAAATTGGTATTATGTTATAACCCAAAGTGCAAAATAATTACCTATAATTAGCTATGAGTCCTCCCTAATATAAATACATGTTAGAATAAGTAAATATGAGAATGGACAAATTTTCCATACAGAAGAATTCAAATTTTTGTGTAGACACTCCCCACTCGTTAAGCATGAGCTATGCATAATGACATTTTCCCAAAACATACAATATGGAAAGACTGGGGGGAGACTATAGTGCAGATACCTGGCAGACACCACCTCAGCCAGACAATAAAAGTTAATATCAGCCATCATAATTCATATTGATATTGTGTATCCTTGATATAATGCTTTGAGGATGGCACTTTACCTCTGCGGTTCAAAACTCTATAACTCCAGTCTTAACAGGAGAAAAACTTAACCCATACTGAAGGACATTGTAAAAAATACATGACTAGCACTTTGGGAGGCTGAGGAGGGCAGATCACATAAGGTCGGGAGTTTGAGGCCAGCATGGCCCACATAGTGAAACCCTGTCTCTATTAAAAATGCAAAAATTAGCAGGGTGTGGTGGCACACACCTATAATCCCAGCTACTCCAGAGGCTTAGGCAAGAGAATTGCTTGAACCCATGAGGCAGAGGTTGCAGTGGGCCAAGATAGCACCACTGCACTCCAGCCTGGCTAACAGAGCAAGACTCCATCTCAAACAAAACAAAACAAAACAAAACAAAACAAAACAAAACAAAACAAAAACTTGACTTATACTACTCAAAATAGTTTGGAGAAACTGTCACAGCCCATAGGAGGCTAAGGATACCTTACTACTAATGTGGTATACTGGTGAGCTCCCGGAACAGATGCTTAAAAATGTCTTTATAAATGTCATTTTAAAAGTCTAAAGAAATCTGAATATTGCATGGATTTTAATAAAAACATGTCAATATATGTTCTTCAGTTATGACAAATATGCCATAATAATATACGATCTGACAAGCCAAACTTTAGTCAGGTTTCTAAAACTTCTAAGCCCCCCTCTGCACTTCCTTGGAAAATCCAGTTTTAGCAATTCCTACTACATCAGCTTAGCAAGAACCCCTATACTCAATATCCAAACACTCAATCTGATTAGGTCTCTCTTCCTCCACCAACCCTAAGGTCATGTCTGATTACTCTGACCTGTCTTCAGCAAAAATCCTGGTAGGTCAGTTTAGCCAGAATTGCTTTCACTCCTGATGTTTTCTCCTAGTAATTTTTAATCCACTGACCCCCACCCCACTCCCCCACTATAAATTCTCACTAGCCCATGCTGTATTTGATTTGAGCACAGTCTCTCTCTCCTGCATTGCATGTGGTCCCTGTACCTATTGCAGTGTTCCTAAATAAAGTCATCCTTGCTGTGCTTTAATAAGTATCACTGAATAATGTTTTCTGTAACAGATGTTAACCATAGAGAAAACTGAGTGTGCAATATACAGGAATTCTGTTTTATCTTCACAAATTTTGTGAAAATCAAAAACTATTTTAAAATTAAAAGTTTATCAAAAAAAAGTAAAGAAGGGAAGGAAGGCAGGAAGGAAGGGAGAAAGAGATTCCCACATGAGCAGCAGCCATCAGAATCTTGTCAAAATTTCAAATTCTCAAGTCACAGCCCAGACCTTCTGAATCAAAAACTCGGGGGATGTAGCAGCAACCTGTGATTGAGAACCATGATCTAGTTGGTTGACCAAGAGCTCTGCTTCCAGGTGCTACTCATTTTAGATGTGGTCATGTTACTTTTTCTTTAATGCCCAAGAGTGAAGAATCAGATTAGGCTTTACTGTAACTTCTGATTACTGAATTGTTACCTTTCACAAAGGAATGACATGTCTGCCTCTGTTCTTCTCATATTGAGATTTGAACTCCGGGGCCCTTCTCAGACCCTGTTGTGCTCATGTCTTCCATAACTTCTCCAGCACACAGAGAACTCTTCCACCTCTGATATCCCCAAGCACATAATCATGTACCAACTCTCATGTTTCCAGAGGCTATATAAATCAAGGCAGAGTGTAGATTCCCTGGAGACAGAAGACTTCACCTATCAGATGGTGACCTTGGGTAAATTGTTTATTCCCTCTGTACCTGAGTTTTCTTTCTGTGAACTGGGGATGGATGATACAAGAGTGTCTACTTCATGGGTTTTGGGGAGAACTGTGAATTAATACACATAATTTGTTAATAACAGCATCCAGCACTTAGTGAGGAACCAAAAAATGTAAGCTGGTGTTACTGCTGGTGGCAAGTGTTTTGTCTCTTAAATATTTCTTCCTTCTCCCAAAGCAGTGGAGTTTTGTGTGCAAAACAATGAATGTCTCAATAAATACTGGGTGAGTTGAACGGGTAAAGTGAGCCCACAAAACCCTACTTCAAACCCAGTGATTTCTCCCTCCCCCGCCCTACACCTACCAGTCATCTAAGGCATTTTGATGTTGAATTAGAATGTTGAAAATATTTCATGTTGCTTATAAAATGCTTTTAGAATAAAGCCAGAGAACTGGATAATATGTGAAAGTCTGGAGTAAATTAACCTTAGTCTAAGCTTCACCACATACAGTTGAGCTGCTACCAACGAACAACACCATTTTACTTTTGATCAAAGATTATTCTAGTTTCAGAGAGCCTTAGCAGAGTTTCTGTTAGCCTCAAAGACAAAATTAGCTATAAAAGAAATAAGCACCCCGGGGACTGTTCTAGAGGACAGTGGGTAAGTGAATATGTTTGAATAACCAGTTCAGATTTTGCTTATTTGCTCTTTACCACAGGTTAAATCGAACTGCAACAATTTACATGCCATAAACACACAAGCTTTAGGTGGTTTGCTTTGTTTTCCAGATGGGAATCAATGTGGTGGATTCTGCAGTATCCGGATTAGGCGGCTGCCCTTATGCAAAAGGTGCTTCTGGGAATGTAGCCACTGAGGATTTGATATATATGCTTAATGGCCTGGGGCTCAATACAGTAAGTTACTTTAACATATTTTAATATTCATGCATTCCTTGCAGCTCCAAATTGCAACGCTTCTCAGATGTGGGAAGCAATTTTGAGGTCAAAGTTTTACTACACTTTTGCTATTTGCTAAAATGCACAGTGGGAAAATGCAATAAAAATTCTTTTGGGGTCTTTATAAAGTAACTCATTGCTATAGCTCAATCACCAATAATGCTACCAAGTCACATTTTTATAGTGCTTCATGACCTCTAAAGTACTTTTTCATGTATTATCTGATTTGATTTTATACACTTTGTGAGTTGGAGCCTGTGTCTTTGCTGTTACAATTGTTGAGTTTTGCAGTTTTGTTTTTTGCATGAATGTTTTTCTTGGAGAAAACTGAGATCTTGATTGTCTCACAGTGACAACTACAGCTTCTGGAAGAACTCCCAGGGCACTTTTTAAATGATCAGTGAAAGAGGGGAGCTTCGTAATACTTAGCATGTGAGACACTGGATAGCAAGAATAGTCTCTTTGCAAGTCGTACCTGAAAAGTCACGTGCTATGTAACCACATCCAACAAATTCAGCACCTTGTTTTGCCCTGTGATTGTTAACACAATCTGTTAGTCTATAGAACAGATTTATTTAGGAAAAAAATAAAAATCACAGATGATTAGTCATTTAGAATTTCTTTCTGCGATGTAAAATAATCACCTGTATTGTAAAACAATTTTTTTTACTCTCTGCTGCTCCTATTCCTCCTTTTTCCTCACTCTACTTACATTGATGCTCCTGCTGCATTGAACTTGCTTCTGGTCTACACTTCTATACCATTTTATTCCTCACTTCTACCTCTTGCTCAGGTTTTCACTACCACATGAAATGGCCTTATGACTTGTATTCCATTTGGCCTGGAAAGTAAGACACCACCATCCTAAAAATAAGCCGTCTAGCATCTCCCTGTCTATCCCCCAAGTCAAACTGTTAGATCCCATTCCTTAGTATTTTCATGTTTTCCTCTGCATTCCCTCTGAACTTACCACAAGGTTATATAATTATCTTGTTTATGTGTCTAGCTTCCCATGCAACCACAGAGCAATTATGACAGCTTATTCATACTTTATACTTGGTGCCTGTGGCATAAAGATGCTCCATAAATATTTATTGAAAGACTGATTTCACTTGGCACTAAACACCAACAGCTGTTACCCATAAACACCAAAAGCTATTGCCTATTTTCTCTGGTTAGAAATAAATGTTATTTCATTTATATCATATCTTAATCATTTATATCAGAAGCTAATGACATAAAATGAGCATAAATAGCTCCTTTCTTAGAAATTTAGATGACTGAATTGAACTCCATAGCTGATAGCTGATGCTTCATATATGCTAGTTATGTTCCATAACTCCAGAGTCCAAATGCAAATAAGTCTATTCCTAAAAGTTTTACCATCCAAGAATTGCCACATTGAGTAGCTTCCACAATTCAACTAGTCACCCAAGCTAACAAACCAAGATTCTCTATAGAATTTAATCTCACTATGGATTCCATGTCCAATCAGTTACCAAAGCTGCTAATTTGACTTTAAAATATTTTGGTTGTTTGTCCCTTCCTTACTACCTCTGCTATGACTACATTGATGCAGGTCTGCACATCTCTTTCCTGGGTGTTCATCCTCTATACTGGTTGCTGGCTCTAGACTTGCCTTTAAATCCATCCTCCATGCTACCATTAAAAGATTACACCTAACATATAAGTATGAATAGGCTCTACTTCTGCTTGAGCACTGATCAGTGGATTCTAATTTCCTGAAAGCAAGCCTGTGCTCTATCACATAATCTGGCCTATTATTACCTTTTCCAGGGTTAATGGTATATTTTACCTTTATCCATATGCACCATGGATATTTAAGATATCTTGAACTGCTCGTCTGTCTGCCTACATACAGTGACCCATACATCCTCCATCCTCTTCTGTACATTTTGTATAAACCTCGAATCAGGCTTCACCCTTCTTGGCACTTTTCCCTGACACATTCCTTTCTGCTTTTTTTTTTTTCCTTGGTTGGTTGGTGGCCTCACACCTCTGCCTCCATAATAACCTGGGCATATCTCTATTTGTGGCTTTAACTATGGTACAGAATTTTCTGTTGTGAGTCTACATTGCTTGCTTGACCTTAAAGGCAGAAACCACATTCTATGTGAGGTTCTTGAAACTCCAGAATCTATCATAGTACATGAGACATATTAAGCATTTAAGAATACATGCAGTGTTGTTTTCATAATGATATCTACTGATTAACTAAAATGGTAGAGAAAAGTCAAAACAAAATTCTTCTTTGGTGTGATATCAGCAAATTCTACTGTATGTTACAAATGGAATTACTGAAAAGAGAAGAAAGACATTAATGGCTAAAATCTTTCTGTCAACACTTGCTGGATATAATTTATAAGTGAAAGGCATCCGAAGTTAATTGTTTACAGAATTTAAGTATCATTGGATTAAGGATGTTAAATAGATACGCACGTAAAGCCATTACCACAAGAAAACCAAATTTCTCAAACCAAAGCAAATGTTAGTATCCTGAAAACAACTTTATAATAAAAAAAAAGAAATTTACAAGTATCATTTTATAAAATATTTTTAATTCTTAAAGAGATAAGTAATTGGCTCTATTGAAATGTCTCCAATTTCTAAAATGATATTGTTATGAAAAGCCTCTATGAGTTTTTATACTTGTCTATTTTATGAAAGTCACAGGTTTTCATAGGTATTAAAAAGTACTTTATAATAGCAAGGAAAACTGAGTATTTTCAACTTTAATCCCACACTGTTTCTAGTCCATATTGAGGGAGAACATAGAAGCTTATGAAATGCCATGTAAGGACAAGTTTGTGCTCAATCCACCTAATGCTTTGCCTCCTGTAACAACAAAAGTGCTGGGTGGAGACATTGATAGTGACGCTTTCATTACACCAAAGCCAAAGGCATGCCCTGAATTTGGCCTTTATACTCAACTGCATATCTGTCATCCATGGATTTACCTAAGCCTTTGTTGATCCTATTTGTACTTTCAGACAGTACAACCTCTCAGGCGAATAAATTCCAGATGTCTACTAAATACTACTTCATTTTATTTCACTTGCAACTACCTCCTTCAATATCATACTAGTGTTTCTGAACTTGGTTTAAAAAATATATATGTATATATATGCATTCACCTTTTCCGTAATCCTTATGGCTTTTTCAAGTTTATTTCTTCATAAAGAGGATAGTCTTTTTTCTAAGTCAGTTCTTATCTATAAACTGCTCCAAAACATTATCATTTTGATTGTCCTTCACTGATGCTTTGTAGACTGTTTTTGTAGTTCCATTATTGCCCTTCCTAGACTCTAGATACCAGCCTGAATTACGACTTTTTCAAGTGTGTCTACCTATATTATTATGCAAGGGTCAGATTCAAGATATGCTGAAATAAAGCAGAAAAATCTAAAATGTTAACATTATTCATGAAAACAAATGTTGCCCCCAAATTGATAATGACCACCACCACTTTGTTTAGTAATTTTAAATGGTTAAGTAACTACTAATAAAATTTAAAAGGCTATGTTTTATCTTTTTTCTCTCTAATCCCTCTGCCTTCCTGATATTCCTTCTCTCCCTCACCAGGGTGTGAATCTATACAAAGTGATGGAAGCTGGTGACTTTATTTGCAAAGCTGTGAATAAAACCACAAACTCTAAAGTAGCACAAGCCTCCTTCAATGCTTGACTTGAATGGATTTATGATCTACAGTTGAGAAGATCAATTTCAGCTACAGTACTCATCTGAAAATCATTAGTGTCAACTTGCTCTGATATGTGAAGTAATAGACAAGAGTGGGAAAAAAGAGATCCTTTTCAAAAAAATTATAACTGGATAGATTAAGTCAACAAAAAGCAGTATCAGTCATCAGGTAAATTGCAAGCTGAGGATAAATAATAAAACTTGTCCTATTTTGAACTTGGAAAAAAGTCTCTTTTGCTCTTGTAGAAATAACTTTTTAATTTAGATGGGAAAATTGAGTTCATATTTCCCCAAGTATCAAATACTGTGTTAATACTTAATCAGGCAGGCTTAACACAGTGTACATACCGTCAGTAGTTTATGAGCTCCTGCATAGTATGCAGAGTGTGTGGCCTCAATATTATGCATTATGCCTCTGGATCTCAACTATTCATTTGCCAAGTCAGTTAAGTTATGGACCAAAAGCCAAATCTCCATCTGACCCTACATAATTTTAGCAATAGAACTTTTATATTTCGAGTATGGCTAACATCTGTTAACTATTTCAGTGACTTTATCTGGTTCCAAGAGGCTGTGGCCAATGGCAAGATGCCATATCCTGGAAACATATTACGACCTCCCATGTTTGTTACATGCATCCAGTTTACCATACTTTACCTATCATCAGTTATAGTAAAAATCAGCATGGAGTTACTCAGCTATTGAGAAATTGTAGGCTATTATTTTGGTCCTGATGTCTAAATTGCAATGATAAGAATAGGTTGATACATATATCGTCATCTACCCTTATAATTTTCAGATCACTTTCAATTCGCACAAGGAAATATCGTTGTGATCCTAAGAATATTAAGATAATTTTTGGTTAATGAAATACCTATTTTCCTTTGATTCATGGTGCTTTGATTACATCACATGATTTTTTGGTGTATTTTTAGTGGTTATTTTAAAAGTTGAAGTGACTGAAATGTTGTCTATTGTCCTAGAATTGATTGCCAGAAATTGAAAGATGTAATATATCAAAGACAGAGATGAGGAGCAGGAGGACTATTCAAGATAAACATTTCCGTAACCTATGCAAATTTTATGGGGGTAGTATTATTACACATGGATCTGAAATGTCAGTTCTAGTATTTATATAGACTTCTCTAATAATATCAGGTGATATTATCTTTGAGTAAGTTTGAATATGAATTGAAACATAAAAATGAGTGTTGTGAACTTTCTAGGAAATATTCATTAAAACCATTGAAATAAAAATAAGTTCAAGAAAGTAAGAGAAGTACTGATTATAACTATGTTGCATGGTTCTGGAGCAGGAATACTAAGAGCAATTTTCTGTTTTGGGGTTAATGTTTGGGGGTTGGGGGAAATGCAGGGAGCAGACAAAAATCAAAGCTGGTTATGAATCTTTTTCAGTTACATCTCCCTGTGCATCTCTCTTCATGAAGCACATGACCCTGCACACTGGCAGTAATGGGACACCTCCAATTAGCATGTACAGCTGGATATGTACCCCATATTCTGAGGAGACTGACTTCCTATCTCTTACAAAGCTATGCAGTTCTTAATTTGAGATATTTGGAAAAGCGTCTCTTGTTACAAACTGCTTATAGTAACAACTAAGGGGAAAGCATTGCTGTTTTGAAATGGAAACCATGGACTTTGAAAGGCAGAGCAAGTAGTCAGAAACTCCAAGTACAGTCTACAGCACAGTTACATATCTTCCATGTCAGTGTACTGAGTCACTTCCATGAATACCTTGATGCTACTGAATCACATTTAGTATGAGAAAGCTTGCTGTAGGTATTTGGTATCCTTTCTCCACACAAACCACCTAAATCTCTTTGACAATTTAAAGAAAGTTTCTTTTCTGGTTTTCTTTTCTCCACCTTATTTATTCTTTGGCCTCTTCCTTCTCTTCTTTATGTTTGACTGCAGACACAAATGTACAGTTGCCTCCATCCTTACAACTCAACAGGTGGTCCAACACCAGCAGGATCATCTCCTGGGACCTTTTGAGAAACAGAATCTGGGACTTCACTCCATATCCACTGCATCACAGTTTGCATTTTAAACAAGATCCTCATATGACTCATATGCAAATTAACTTTGAGAAGCACTTGCCTATTTGATACCTCCCCTTGGGTGTCCAACAGGCTTCTCAGGCTTCATATATATTCAAAATTCTTGTACCATTTTTCACTTTGTGCTCTGTAGTCCACCCCATTGTCTTCTGTTTTTGGAACAAGACACACTCAGATCCATCTCAGGTCCTTCCTTTACCTTAGTTTTTTTCTCTGCCTGTAAAGCTGTTTTCCTGGCTTTTTCCCTGGGCATGACTGGCTCCCTCTTGTCATTGAGGTCTCAGCATAAATTTTACCTCCTTAATGAATCTTCCTGGACAACTCAGTTTAAAGTAAGTCCTGTTACACTCTCTCACATCAACTCATTTAATTATTAATTTTTACCTATTATTTGTTTATTCTTTCTTTCTTCAACAGAATATATACTCCATGAGAGTGAGGGTTTTGCTATCTTCTTCACTGTTAGTTCCACATTGCCTAGAACATAGTGCTAGGGTCTGGCACTAAATACCAATAAATGTTAGTCGGAGTCAAGAATAGAAATGGGTTTAATTCAAACATTTGGGAATTGAAGGAAGGAAACTATTCTGCATGAACTCTACACATATATTTCCTGAGCCCTTAATATATTTTTAGGATTTTTCCAGTTTATATGTTGAATGATTGAATTAAGTAATGAATGCATATATATATACCAAAGAGGATGTTTAGAAATGTTGGGTACACCAAAATTGTAAGGGAAATATATATATTTTTAAGCAGAATAAAGTAAAAGTGAAACTGCTGGAATTGATAACAACAAATTGACAATATCAATAACAGAAACCTTCCTGAGGTAAAGAGGCAACAGCTATAATAAGCAACTAATCAGCTTTGCTATGGGCATTAAGAAGTGCATGCCATTGCTTTCTATGTGTTTTACACACATGCACACAGGCACACACACACATGCATACATAATACACCATTCCAGATATGGCCAGAACAATTTAGATTATTCATCAAACTTCTGTAACCTGTCTCTTCTCTATCAAAGAAACAAGAACTGCATTGCCTATTTAAAAGTCCACTGTAACATGTCATCGAAGAAAAGCAAGCCTGTTGTATCAGCTGTCATCTATATTATTAAGAGATAAAAATTTTGTAATGACTTGATATCAAGACCTCATTACTTCAGTATTCCTTAAATTCCTTTAGTAATTTATAGGTATTTCAGAGTCAAGTCTTAGCAGAGACATACTCTTTATTTTCTATCGCTGATACATAAACAAACTTATTCTCTGTGATCTCAATTCATGTTGTACATTAGATTAATCAGTGGATGATGGGAGAGGAGTTTAGCAATATTGATGCCTGAACTTCACCCTTGGATATTTTGATTTCATTGGTCTGGAGTAGTACACTTCAAGCATCAGCATTTAAAAAAAAATGTATACAACAATTCTCATGTGCAAGTTTAGTTGAAAATCTCTAATTTAGAACAATGGTTTTGAAAGTGTCATCCCAGGGGGCGCAGCAGCAGCAGCAGCATGACTTGCTTTTCTCAGGAGCTTCATCCAGAGAAAACGGCATCATCTCAGAGTCAGCTATAAAATCCAGATTGTGAATCTGTGTATACTATAGAGATAAAGGACAGTAAGAGGACACCAGCTATATTAGCCCATCCTTGCCTTGCTGTACCTAAGAGTAGGTAATTTATAAGAAAAGAGGTTGAATCTCATGGTTCTGCAGGCTGTACAGGAAGCATAGCGCCACCATCTGCTTCTGGGAAGGCCTCAGAAGGTTTTAACTCGTGGTGGAAGGTGAAGTGGGAGCCAGCAGTTTACATGGCAAAAACAGGAGCAAGAAAGAGAGTAGGGAGGAGGTACCACACTTTATAACAACTATCACCAGGACAGCACCAAGAGGATATTAAACCATTCTTTAGAAATCCACCCTCGTGATCCAGTCACCTTCCACCAGGGCTCATCTCCAACACTGAGGGTTACAGTTCAACATGAGATTTAGAGGGAATACATATCCAAACTACATAATCAACACATTAGAATTCAAATTAGGATTCACTAGAGATGCAAATTTTCAAACTCCAGCACAGATGTACTAAATCAGAAGCTCTGGGTTGAGGCCTAATAATCTTTGTTTTTACAGATCCTCCAGGGGATTCTGAGGAGCCCTAACGTTTGAGAATCACTGACCTTCTAAGGCAGTGATTTACCACACTTGTAATTGGTAGAGGAAAAAATGGATACTATTTAGCTTATTGTATGCCCTATATCCACACAACAAAGCATCATTTTGAACTAGCACTCATATAATCCAAACAGGCATACATTTCCAGCCTACATTTCCAATGTGAACAGTGCTTACGAGAGGAGTGAAGTATACGAAACAGATGCCAATTTCCTCTGCCACATTCCTTCCCTTGACTCTGTTTCCCAGCTTCATAAGTTGAAAGAGTCATATGAATAGCCTCATTATTAGGATTTTCTCCAGGAGGCTTGAGTCTGAGAAAAATTCCACCAGGGTTCTACTGATTCTTCTTTGACACCATCTGATCTTAGGCTCTGGAAGCACACAATCCAGTTCTGAGTCTTGGCTGTATTACTCAATGGCTATGCAAACTTATTCAATTTACCTAAGGTCTTTAAACCTAATTTCAAACCTCACTTCCTTCACCTGTAAAACTCAGATAATAGCCTTTATTTATACAGCTATTGGAGGGATTTCATGAAGTAATGCTTATAAGTGTTTGGCAAAGTGCCTAGTACTTAGAAAGTAATCAATAAATGTTAACAATCATAACTTTTAGTATCATTTCCTATAGCACTGCCCTGGAGTGGAACTTCCCCTCCATTGTGAGTTAACAATTAGAGAGGCTCTCTTTCTATATCCTGTTCCATGTACAGTGTATGTTGTCTTAAAGGGCCTGCAATAATTCTCAAAAAGGCAGCTCGTCATCAAACTCCAGGACCACATAGTCTTAAATTGGCACCAGAGTCCCATGCTTTCCTTATCATGCTGTACCACTGAGGTATGCATGCTGAGCTAATTCTTTTCTGCATTTCATATGGTAGTAGTCTGCTACAGGAACTTGTTTTGAGACTTTTGCTGAGTACACTTATCTAAGAAATATAGTAGGTTGAACTCTATATCCTGCATCATCTAAAGTCAAAAATTTCATGAACGTTAGGAATTTGTTTCAGTCTTTTGGCAGTTGGACAGGTGAGCAGATAGATTTTGACATCTGTTTTCATATGAGTTTTATTTATTTGGTGGACTACTACCTAGAAAGCTTCCGCTTTCTTCTTGTTCTTCCTGGTTCTGTTATAAAGCAGAAGCATGTGCTTAGTTGAGTACTTTGCTTCCATGAGGGTCACCTTTCCTTTAACTTGAGCCATAGTATCAAACTTATATGACTTATGAAAAGGATTATGCCCCTCTAGGAATTAAGAGGAACGAAATCAAAACTTCTGATGATCATTCCATCTAAACTTTCCTTCTCCAGCTGGTTATTTAAGACCCCTGTCATTAGTGAAGCAGAGCAAAATATCATAGGTAGCCAGCCAGATCATTATCCTGAATTATATGAATCCTGAAAAGGTGCCTTCAGTCAGAAGGTTTTCACAGTGACCTCTATCTGTACACTAATGCCAATATATTGGATTGTTGGGCAGACATTCCAGCAGCATTCGGAGAGGTCCACAGAATTACAAGGAATCACTGCCTGCTTTTTGCAGGAGCTTCGTTTAGATAAAATTTAATTATCTGGTAGTCAGCTCACAAAATTTATACTGTAAATGTGTGTATACTCCAGAGGTGAAGGGAAGCTGTAGAGTGCCAATATCTGTCTCCTTCTTATAACAGCCTGTATGCTCAGTACCTATCACATTAGTATAAAGGAAAACATATCTATGGACCTTCCTTTAATCAAAGAGTATGTCATTGTTTTTCTCAACTGTAAACATCTTCAAAGAATTTGAGGACCAAAGTAGTTCAGGCTAGAATTATGGGCATGAGGAAGAAGTGAGAAACATGTGATGACAAATAGAGCGTAAGTGGGGATAGATATGTTTCTGTAAGGGGTTTGTACATATGTATAGAAGATACGTCCATCCAGACATTAAAAGCCTGTTAGTATTCTTCTACCTCCTGGACATTTTCTTTTTTTTACTTTTTTTTTTTTTTTTTTT